ATATGCACTGATTATAGCCCAGGTCCCGTGTTTGGAAATTGATATACATTGTTTCAATCAATTATGCAGACACCCTAAAAAGTAGCAGCCATTATTGACCTGATTTTACAGGGAAGAAAAAGGGAGCTTAAAGAAGTCTGGCGACCTAAGGAATGTTACCTAGCTAGGAAATGAGGGATCAGGCTGCAGACTGTTGCCATCTGGGCCTTGATGAGGAACCTCCGTCATCATGCTCTCTGCCTCCCTCTATTGGTCTATGGGAGATGTTCCATGCATCATTACTGGAAGAAGAAATGAACTACCCAAATCTTACCTTGACACTTCATACAGGTCACAAGTCTTCTAGGGGTGCCTTTACCTACCACTGCACACTGGACACCACTGCCTTTTATCCCATCTTACACCATGGGACTTTGTCTCTGTCCCGGGCTGCTCAGGTGTGTCTGGGAATCTCCAGACCAATGGTCAGTGACCAAGTGCCCCAAGCTCAGAGATGTTTCAGCACTCCTTCCTCCTAGTCCACCTCCTTGTCTGCCTGGTAGTCTGTGGGGAAGTGCAACCCAGGCGAGGCTTCAAAGTAGAGAGCACCTTGAGCCCATTTACATGACCTGCTCTTCAAACATCAGTGTATGTGTGTAAGTCATCTGGGGAGTCGGCTGAAATGGATACTCCAATTCAGAAGAGCTGGGGTAGCCCGTGACATGCAGATGCTGCCAACCCACAGACCTCACATTTGCTAGCAAGTCACTGGAGGAATCTCAGACAAGACAGCACATCAGATGGAGACTGAGAATGTCAACTCTTCCTACTTAGAGCCTTCATTTATACCCATGGCTAAGCCGTTTGTGTCCTCAGTACCTCACACACAGAGAGACATAGGGAGATAGAGCTGAACCCCATTTCAAGCTCTGCCTGGATCCCTGCTATATATTTGTGCAAAGTAGGTTACAAATACCCCCGCAGTGGCTAATCTTGGTTGTCAACTTTACTATATCTGGAATCAGCTAGAACACAAGCTGCTGGGCTCACCTGTGAGTGCCTTTCTTGACCAGATTATCTGAAGCAGGAAGACCCACCCTACATGTGGGTGGCACCTTCTGGTAGCAGCCCAGATAACAATACATGGAAGAAGGAAGCTGCATGCTTGTCCTTGCCTTCGATGGCGAGTCCATGTCTCCTGATGCTCTGACATTCCTCCACTGCTGTTAGAACCAACTTCTTCAGGACTCTGATGTTACTGAAGCAGCTCCTCAGGAATTCTCCATGCCTTCAACACCAGATGGGGACTGCTGTGACATCCAGCTTCATGGGCTGAGCAAATGTAGGATTCCTAGCCTCTCCAATGTAAGACAGCTATTGTTGAATACCCTAACTGCATCCTGTAAACCAATCTAATAAATCCCCCTTTTTATATGCACATATGTTCATTCTATTGGTTCTGTTCTTTAGAGAACACAGACTAATACAGCTCCTCCCACACTGCAAAACCAAGTACAACAGCCAATAAATAATATAGGCTTAGTAAATAGGTGATGAGTTTAATTCAGTTTAGAGTAAACAGTATTTATTATGCTTGACATCAGCTCGTGGCATTAATTGCCTCAGGAATTCTCAAATATATTCTTCCCAGGTTCTATGAAGGAGGAGTCATGGTTTGCATCTTAACTGCACTCCCCAAATCTTGTGTTCCAAAGGTTTACTTTTCCAATGTGGAATTAAGAGGCAGGACATCTGTGAGAAGGTATTGAATCATGAGGTGTCTGAAAATCTCTCTCTCTCTGAAGTGAGCAACTTACCACATGTTTCCCATGACATTCCACCCCATTACAGGCCAAGTGATAAGCTTGGTCTATGCCTCTGACACTATGAGCCAACCATGAATTCAGACGTAGATCAAATGATGAGCAAGACAGCCAGATTGTATGTTTTTGTAGAGCTTAAACTCTGGTCAAAAAAGACTGAGAATTCAAGGAAAACTACACACACATAGAAGATATTTCTAGAACCTTTAAAGTTCCCTCAGGTGTTTTGTCACCATGGTGGGAATATGGCTAAGTCAGTGGGAGATTTTGTGGTCTGGGACACACAGAGTTATTCATTCCGATGTCACTGAAGTACATGATAGTGCTGGGTTATTTGGCAGGGAAGAATGTCATGACTTATTGGCATCATTATTGCTTATAGCTACTTCTATGTCTTTCAACTGAACTGCATCTTCTTGTATTAATTAACCGGTTCACCAATTGCATAAATATGTATTACAGTCCCAGCAAATTCTAGGTAGTAGTTCATATGTAGATCAAATGATGAACAAGACAGCTAGATTTTATGTTGTTTTATAGAGCTTAAAATATAGTCAAAGAAGACTGAGAATTCAAGGAAACACAAAAATATCGAAGATACTTCTAAACGATGATATTAGTTATTTGCATGCTGTGGTCACCAAATCCCTGACAGAAATACTCAAGAGGAGGGAAGCTTATTTCATCATGGAAGGGAAGGAATGTCAGGGCTGTTCTGCCCTGACAGCAGGACTGTGAGGCAGTGGCAGTTCACATGGCAGCTATGCAGGACACGAAAGAGTCAGGGAGCTTCAGAAGCCTACCCCAGGGCCTGCCTCCACCAGCCAGGCCCCACTTCGTGAGGGCCCCACACCCTTCAGAATGGTTCCATAAACTCAGGAGCAAGTGTTCCAACATGGGTTTGTGGGGCCATTTCAGATTCAAGCCAAAGCTTTGCAGGTGGATGATAAAGTGAGGATATCAACTGGAAGTTCTATTTAAAGGTATAAAAATGAATGGGACTAACTTGAGACACCATTCATAGAAGGCGAGTGAGCCCTGTGTACGTGACTTCCATTTACAACAGAGGGAGGAAGGTGGGGTTCTGAAAGGGAGGCCAGGAGAGACACTTGGAGAGTTCAAAGTCTCAGAACCAAGAGAAATGTTCTGAGAAGCAGAGACATTTGCCCAGGAAGCTGCTCCTTAGAATGACTGCCTGTTGGAGCTGACATTGAAATCCCGCCATATGTTGTATACACATTTAATTAGCAGCTCTCACACATCCCTGTAGATCCATCATAGTTCCCCAAATTTACAGATGAGAAATGATGTTCTGAGGAGTGAAGTCACTTGTCCAGGATCATAGCTAAATGAAGGTTCTGGATTTCATTTAAGGATGCTGACTCCCTCCGCTGTGAATCAGACAGGCATAAGCTCCCTGAGGACAGAGCAGCCAGCCACTGTGCACACACGGCTTGTCGTACACAGCAAAGTCTCTTGGTGTAGACATAAAATGTGTAGAACAAGCCTGGGGGTGACTTAGCCAATAAAGTGCTTGTCATGCACATGTGAGGACCTGAGTCCAGTTCTCCATCACCACATGAAGCTGTGTGTGGTAATGTGGATCTGTGATCTTAGCACTTCTGTGGTGAGGTGGAAGGTAGAGACAGAAGAATCTCCAGCAGCTTTTGGGTCAGCAAGCCTGGCATATGCAGCAGGTACACACATGCCATTTCTCTCTCTCTCTCTCTCTCTCTCTCTCTCTCTCTCTCTCT